ATAAGCTTTCTTTGTAGAATACAGCCCAGATGTTTGAAATCATTAGTTACCTGTGTTTTGTTTATGAAATAACTGGTTTGATGCAATACCAGTATATGATATAATAACAGTATTTGTGTGTGTGTGTGTGTGTGTGTGTGTGTGTGTGTGTGTGTGTGTGTGTGTGTGTGTGTGTGTGTGTGTGTGTGTGTGTACACATATATAGTGGGTACAGAAAAAATTCAGACCCCCTGTTACTCCTGAAACTGAAGGACCCCTCCAATTGTACAGTACCATCCAACATTGGCCAATAACTTGTCTCTCCACAACATGGAGCTCATGTCAGGCATCATAGCAATTATGATAAGTGGGCGTATGGATCAATATATAAGCACAACACAAAAGGGCATCAGCAGAGATACCAGAGGAGCCAAACACCAGCTGCTGATAGACCAAACAGTTGCCCAAGACTGCAAATACTGACACATCAACCTGTGTAAGGCCTGGATTGATTACAGGAAAGCCTATGACTCACTGCTGCACTCATGGAAAACCTCACCAGGGAGGCATCCTTACTAGATGCCTGAGCCACCTCAATTGGCTCCACTCAATGAAGCCAATTGCAGCCAGTTCCATAAGTCTCCTAGCCTAGTGAACTAGACCAAATTCTTGCTTTGCAAATTTTAAATAATACATTTATTTAGTCTGGCTTGCCAGGCTACAAGTCTCCATCAAATGTAGCAGATACCAAAGAGACGCCCTGTCCCCACTGCTGTTCGTCATAGGTCTGAACCCCCTCAGCCAAAGAATCAACAAGTCTGGCTATTGATACCAATTCAAGAATGAAACCACAATCAGCCACCTCCTCTACAGCAACACATTTTTTTATGCAAGTAATCCAGCTCAGATGAAGGATATAGAGGGGGAACAGAGTGGAAGTGATTAGTTTCCAAGATGCCAATATCTCCCTCTTTTAGCCCAGTGACACCAACATCGCTATGCTGATGACTCCCTTTTTATTCGTTTCCCAAAATTTGGACACGAGTCCTGCTCCCAGAAGATCCGAGGTTAAAAGATGGGCCCTGTTCCAATGCATCCATTCCTCTCCCCCACCGGCAACCTAACCAGGCACACAGTCACCCCATTGTTCTCATTGCAGGCAGAGTTGGGCAGACTAGAGCAAGCCAGACGAGCAAAAGTTCTAAACCACAGGCGATGGAACATTAACATGCAAAATCAGTGCCAGCACAGCGCGGTTCTGGCCTTAAACCATCGCCATTAAGTGTTTTTTTCTTCCTTATTTAAATCTTTCTCCTTCCCCCACATTGCTCCCGATTTCTCCTTCTAAAACTCATATACAGCACATGTGCTCTTAATCCCTGCAGCCCCCTCGTCTCGGCTTGCTCCAGACCTGGAACAAGCGATGCCATCGACCAGCGGAGAGGAGGAGCTGCAGCTGCAGCTGGCCCTGGCTATGAGCCGAGAAGAAAGTGAAAAGGTACATCTAAGTAAAGTAACACACACTCTTCCACCAAGCACAGAGCTCTCCGCTGCGGTACATGCATCTGACAGAAAGAGGTCTCTCAGCTGTGCTAGTACTAAATATTAAACAGCTCCCACCCACATGATCAAACACTTTGTCTGTCATGGTGGTCAGGCACTTTCCTGTCTGTCTTCTTTGCCATCATTTCCCAGAGATGAAAGCGATGAGCTCTTATGTTATCAGCAACGGTACAGGGACCAATCAGGGTGAGTGATGCTGAAGATTGAGAGAGGTGAGAGTGAAAGAGTGAGAAGGCAAACAGGATCTGTGTATCGATCCGCTCCTAAACATCCACACTCTGCCCTCGCCTACATGACGAGCCGTTTTTAGTTTTCTGCTAAGCTACAGCTGGAGTATGCTACTCCAAAGCAAATTTCCACCTCTGAAATCAAACAAATGAATAAATCAAATAATTAAATATTATGGAGTCCATTAGACTTTTTTTTTACTTTAATGTTAAATCACTGTTTTACATTACCTGTGATTACTGCACTTTGCAAATGAGTTGTCAGTGAATCACTTTAACTAAATCAAGCGTGCTTTGATTAGTCTTCCTCCTAATCCTTCCTGCTTGACTCTAGCCACCTCCCACAGTGGATATAGATGAACAGGCTCAGCTCCGGATGGCTATGAATCTCAGCAAGAAGGAGGCCCACAAGCCGAAAGTAAGTGTGGACCAGGGGGAGCCTTTCTTTGCATCCTATGCGTATCGGCCTGCTGCCCTACACACTAAAATAAATCTCCCATCTTCTCTCCGTGCACCCCTCCTTTTCTTCTTTAAAGTTTGGATTGAACGTTTTCATCTCTACATCACTTCTTCACCTGGAAAAGGCCATTTCTCCAAACAATAATGATGTCTGGTTTCATTCTTTCATTCCTCTAACCACTAGATTTAATCTTTTAGCCCAGTTTGTTGAGGTCCCACTCTGGACACCGGTCTGCTGCTGAAAGGACCAACTCCTTCACTTTTTCGGGGATGTTTATGGAACTGAATGAGGATGTCCAAGCCTTCAATTGTCATATTATGATCATAATTAGCACCCTGTTTAATCCCTCACAGCCAGTCAAACGCGTACCTGCTGCCACTGTGGACATGGATGAAGATGCCCAGCTGGAGCTCGCTCTGAGTCTGAGTAAAGAGGAACACCAGCAGGTAAAGACTTTCATTCTTAAGATTTAAAAATGCAGCCTGAAAAGTTAGCAATGTGTAATTAATAGGTGAAGTTATGAGTCACATTGATCCAATAAGAGGCGGATGTACCTGAGCAGTTCAGTCAGAAGTTTGAGATTCAGATTTTTGCAAAAACTCTATTAAAGAATAAATTCCACACATTCTGCTTCTATTGAGCATTTTATCTTTACAATCTTCACAACTTTGTCATTTCACTTCCTGTTACAACCCATCTTTTTCCTCCTGTCTGCTAATTAGTAGACAATAGAGCTGCTCTGTCACAATGACTGATTTCCTACCAGGAAATGTCATGGTTCCTTCCAACTGCGTACATGCTACTGCAGGAAGCTTGTTTCTGGCTGTAGTTAGGACATACATGAAGTATAAAATGACAATATGCATATCTTTGCCGTAAGCTGTCATGCTGAAATGCATCCATGTGTCTGTTTATAGGAACAACTCAGTCGCCAAGGGGATGAGTCTCAGCTCCTGAAAGCTCTGGAGGAGAGCAAACGTGAAATGGAGGGAAAAGGCGGGGTATGAAGATGTTCTGGATGGGGGTGGGGGGGCAGATATTTTAACAGTGCAAAATAAAAGCAGAAATTAGCTAAAAGTGTATGACTTTCAGTTTTAACTTCCATCGGTCATACAAATGAAAACATCAGCCCTGTAAATTATTACTTACGTCATATTGTTAAACTTTATTTTCCCGGTTTGCATTCTCAGACAGCCTTTATGGACCTGGTAGATGTCTTTGCAGTGCCTGCAGATGTACCTCCTGTCAACAACCCCTGGGATAATCCTTCCCACCAGGCTGCTGGGGCCAGGGGCACCGACCCCTGGGACTCCCTGGGTGAGCCTCGAGTAGATTCATCACTTGGGACTAGTCAAGCACCTAGTTGGATGCTAAACTTGAACTAAAACTCCTAATGTTTCCAATTAAGATAGTAACGGTAATCTCAATTTTAGCAGCATTTCTGTTGTAGTTGATGTACTTTTTAAATATTGTTAAAGACAACCCAAGGCCCGATTCTCCTTGGATGGTGCCACCACCATCCAACAGCCCACCACCACCATGGGAGCCTCCAGCCAACCCCTGGGCTGCACCGCCAAACCGTGTCTCTAACCACAACCCCGCAGGCAGAGATCTAGCTTTTCCTGGAACCTCTGGTGAGAGTTGTTTGTGCGACACACACACTTAGCTCAGATAGACAAAGGAAAAGAGGAACAAATGGAAACATTCAGACGTGTGGTTTGATGATAAACTCTGTTGCTATGGTTTATGATCAGCCTCTTCTGGAGTTGATCTATTCTTGGCTTCGTCGGGAGTGACTAGAGGACCTGTTGGTGACCCTGCACTTCGTAGTGTGAGCCCTTTGGGTACGTAGTTTTATTTACACCCGCTTTTGTGCATCCAGCATGCTTAGTGTTGCTCCTCTCCTGCTAGATGGAGACCTGTTTGATGAGGCCATGGATGGTGGTCCTGCGAGTGTTAATGGACGAGAGGCTGACAGTCCGGACCTCTTTGAACTGTCCGGTATCAGAGAAAGCCTGACTGACACCGCCCCTCGCACCTGCCAGACGCCCGAGGCCTTTCTGGGACCCACAGCAGCTTCCTTGGTGAACTTGGACACTTTGATCCCAGCAAATCCCTCAGCCAAGACCACAAATCCCTTTTTAGCAGGTATTTGTTGGCAGCTTGTACCACAGATATTCTGTTAAATAGGAAGAATGTTTATTGTTCTACTTTTTGATTTTGGTTTAGGCATTAGTGCTCCATCAACTGCCAATCCATTCCAAAATGAGCAGCCAAAGCTCAGCCTGAACCAGATGAGCGCCACATCTGCAGCTCCCCTTGCCACCTCTCTTCCATACAGTGCCTCTTTGCCCCTGCCCACCAGCCACCAGGATGCCACCATCTCTATGTCAATCACCCACCCCCCTCAGCCTGGTCTGGACCTGCCGCAGAAGCTCCCTGAGCCCTTGTTGCCATTCTCCTCACCCAGCCATCAGGAATCACAAGCTGTAGAGAGCACCGAGAACCCTTTCTTATAAGGACCGCTTTAACACGACAAACATGACTGAGAGAAATGATGAAGGAGCAAAGCACCACACGGTGATGCTCATTGAATAACACAAACCAAACTCCAGTGCTAAAGACTTGTATGAAATCTATTTTTTCCTTTTCTTTTATGTATTGTTGTGGAAAATGGAATATTTTCTTGCTGCAAGCTGGTTCTGCTCTCAACAGAAACCTTTAAAAGAGCGGGGACATTTCATTGGAAACGATGGGTGTCATGCAAGACTTCTCTTGAGGTCATAATCTGTTACTGACAGCAAATAGCAGCTATGCAAAAGCACATCAGATCAAACCCAGTGGAACCTGAAGGTCGTATCATCAAACTACATGCCTCGGATATCTGGAGATTAGCAAAAGTTATTAAGACAATGCATTTAGTGCCTGAAATGTTTCTGTTCTAACGGATTTAACCTGCGTGGACCAGAACTGACCGGTTTAACAATCTACATATTCATTCACTGAAGTGAGACGAAGTGCAGAAGGAACGGATTAAAGTGTTGTGATTCAGTTTCTAAGTACGACGATATTTAAAATGGAAAATTGAAGTTTTATTAATTGCTTGTGATTTACAAACTCCCATCAAATGTAGCAGTAATTTCTACAATTCTGTGTGTTTTCCAGATGAGTACTTTTCATTCCCTCATCTCCCACAAGCATCAGAACATTCTTACGATCACTATGGTCGTTTCTGAATTATATGGAAAATAATAAAATGATGTTCAGAAATGAAATCAAATGAAACTATTTTCTGATATTGGAATTTGTGATAGAAATAAAATAAAAACAATATACAGATGAAAAAAACTGGCTGATGATGGGGAGTAAAAATCCGCTCCCTATTCCATTTGCTAGTATTTACTGTGTGATTGTAGCCCTCTTAAGCACCTTATTCCACCTGATGGCAGCATGTCCCTTTCATTGTCCATCCAAACTTCTTAAGATTTGCACAAGTCTTTCCAGGAATGACGGACTTCAGGTCTTAAAATGTCTGTAGGAAGTATCGGGCATCTTCTCTAGCCTGCTGAAAACAGTCCATACTCCTTGGATGGGGCTGATATTCTGCTAAAGAAACTTTTAAGTATTGGGGTAAGTGCTACAAGCAGCAAAGCAAGCATTTAAATGTGAACCCCATTTTACTGAAGGTGGCACGATCTTTTTCAAGTTGTGATTTATTTTGATATTCACAAACTCTGAGAGCTCCAGTTTGGTTTCCTATCATAAAAATGATTAGAGTGATTCTGATCCTAATTCTGATCCATTTGCCTTTTGTGCCTTGTTCTTTGATGATGTCCCTGGCCTGTACCCTCTGGTGTGTAGAAAAGTAACTTGAACCAAAACTCCATATTGCTCTGTCTGCCTAAAGCTGTTGGCTGTCACACCACTCATGATTCTCTCAGTTCTCTGTTTACCAGACAAGAATGTGAACAGAGAAGGGATCTCTAAATGACCAATGGTTGGAGCAGAAATGTATACTGATGATATCCCAACTCCAGTCACAATGGTCACTTATGCAGTTGTCTCATCTCGCATCAGATCACGTTCTCACTCTAATCAGTACTGAATGGTACCAAAGACCCAGTGCAGTTTTTCTTTTCTTATATCTTTAGCCACTTTTACAGCCTCCAGTCCTAAAGATAGCATTCAGATCCTCCAATAACAGTGTTTTGGAAATGAGAATATTGATGTCTTTATCCAAAGGGCTTTTTAGACTTTTGCCTTTCCTGATCATGATCACTTGATTGTGACGGACTCCAGCCAGCTCAATACTTCTTGCAGTCCTTGCCCAGAGCTGGCACTAACTTCCTTTGTTGTGATGGACTGAGGAGCACTTGCAATGATGTCATCTATCCGGAACAGTGACTTTATCTCTACAAGGCTCATGATGCAAGGAATGTCTCTGGGGAAGAAAGAAAACCAAGACAAAAATGGCATGAAAAAAGGGTTTCTCCTAACACACAGTTGTGATTTTGCATAAATGTCTTGTGTTTTTGACTATTTGCATTTGTAGGAACTGATGTTTATGAAATTCCTACCTCTTGTTGAAGAGAATAAGCACAGATGCACGGCAGAGAGGCTCAGCTGAGAGCACAGACAGCAACAGGATGCACGAGGAGGATATCTGAGCTATGTTAGATGAATCCACGACGAACTATGAGAAAACCATAAAAAATATTTGATCAAAATGATTTGTTTCCTTATTGAGTATTTAAAAAAATGCTGTATATATTCAAGTGTCTTACAATGAGAGAGAAGCAGTCTGTGAAGTAGCTGGGCCATATAGGGCCCATGCAGCCTCCCAGCTCCCTTACTGTCACCTTCTTCTTCTTTAGGGTGAGGTCTGTCAGATTTGTTCCTACCTGAGGTGATCAAATAGATGAGGAGTCACATCATAAACAAGCGTGTTCGCGTGCTATTAGAACTGGATTTCCTCAGCGCTTACTGTGGGGAGAGTGGGAGGAGGAGAGCCCACTTCACATGAACCATGCAAACTAAGTAGTGAGAAATCTGTAAGGAAATGTTCAGTTACTGTAGCTTCATTTCAATGCAAAGAAACATTTGGTTTAAAGTAGTAAATAGCATAGCATTTAGCTAGCTGCATTAGCCTTCACAGATAACTAGTTTAAAACACTTAGACGAGCACAAAGGATATCTTGTAGGCGTTTAAGTAATAAAGACTTTCCTGAGCCAGTCGCTCCGAGGAGTAAACACATTTCATTGTTGTTCATTTCGCCTTTTTCTGCGCAAGCAAAGCATTTCAACATGTTTAAATCATGTTAGAGGCTGCCGCACTTGACGCCATGGAGACGCTCACGTGACCCTTCGTCTTGACACTGATAGGTCCAATTTGATTTCATTCCTCCTTGGTCTGCATCTGATTGGTTGTTTAAGATCACGTGAATAAAGTGGAAGCAAAACAAGACTAAAATCCTCGTTGACTGAAACGACATCAGAGTCGCGACGCCATCGGAACGTCGAAATCGGCCACACGTTGTTGAGACTAGAGTTGCAAGAGAAGAGGAGCCGAGAGATAATCATGGAAGCGAAGTTAAAGAAAGAGTTAGGCACGAGCGTGCTGAAATCCACTGGTCACGCAGGAGGAGGATGTATCAGCGAGGGTCAGAGTTATGAGACCGACACAGGAAGAGTGTTTGTAAAGATTAACCGCAAGAGCGAGGTCATTTTTAAGTTCAGAAATTGCAATAACATCTCGGAATACTCATTTGCACTTTTTTTTAGATATACGTATTATGTCAGCTATTAAATGATTTGTTGTTTTAATAAACAGCTGTTATTTTCAGGCATGGAAACATTTAATCAACCTGATTCTACATTAATAAACAATAATAGTTATACAATAATTAATATAAAATACGTTTGTGTTATTCAGGCCAAACGGATGTTTGATGGAGAGATGGCAAGCTTGGAAGCAATCTTTAAAACCAAAACCGTTAAAGTACCAAAGCCCATAAAGGTGGTTGAGCTGGATAAGGGAGGATGTGTATTTGTGATGGAGCATCTGGACATGAACGGTCTTAACAAGTGAGTGAGTCTTCATGTACACTATAGCTTGTTTCTGACGTATCATTCATGTGAAAATATATAAATTCTTATTTCATTGAGCAGGTTCTCAAAGCAGCTTGGAGAGCAACTTGCAGATCTGCATCTACACAACAAAAGGCTCATGGGAAATCAACAGAAGGAGCAGCAGACTGTGGGTAATTCATTTTACATTTGTATAATTGCTTGGAAATGTGTGTAGAAATGCAACAAGTCACACTTTGAGTCTTGAAGCGGGGTTCCCTCTGATTTAACCTGTGTTGTTTTCAGGTAAAGGAGCTGGACAGTCAGAGGCGGCTGCTGTAGAGAAATTTGGCTTTGATGTAGCTACATGCTGTGGATATTTACCGCAGGTTAAACACTAAACAAATACTGCAGTGCACATGTCTTTTATACATATCTTCAAGAATAAATCTAAATTTTGATCCCTCTCCACTTTTCCAAGGAGAATGAATGGCAGGATGACTGGGTGTCATTTTACTGCCAGCACCGTCTACAGCACCAACTCAACTTGGTGGAGAAATCATATGGAGATCGGGAGGCCAGAGACCTATGGGCTCAGCTACAGGTGCATCCTCCGCTTGACAACATCAGATATTTTACACAACCCCTGATGAGTGCCACAGTAATCTGACAGTCCAGTTGTGTCTGTTTTTTGCAGCTAAAGGTCCCACAGTTTTTCACAGATGTGGAGATCTTTCCTGCTCTCCTTCATGGAGACTTATGGGGAGGAAATGTGGCTGAGTGTCCGGAGGGTCCTGTCATATTTGACCCTGCTTCTTTCTATGGTCATTCAGAATATGAGCTTGGCATCGCTGGCATGTTTGGTGGCTTCAACAGCTCCTTTTACTCTGCGTATCACGATAAGATTCCAAAAGCACCTGGCTTTTCAGAGAGAAACCAGCTTTACCAGCTCTTCCACTATCTGAATCACTGGAACCATTTTGGCGTAGGCTACAGGGGTTCTTCAGTTAGGATTATGAAGAACTTACTCAAGTAGGCATTTGAGGGAACCTTTACAGTCTTAATGATGCATATTATTTTGGTAATCTGACAAAGATTAAATGGCAAATTCCCAAAGCTACTTACAGAGTATTTAAAATATTGTGCAGGAAATGAATAGTTACTGTAACATAAACCAGTTCTACTCTGACAGCGGCACTTTCACCAATCTGCTTCCAAAATCTAAATGAGCATTACGGTAAACTGCTGCTGCCTGACGATGAGACACCTTTGCCATTCGGCTTTGCCGTATTTCAGTAAATCTTTTCAAATCCTTGTTGTTGAATACTTGATCTGCATAAACTATTACTGTTAGGTTGTCTTCTGCTGAACCACAGATACATGCTGCATTCATTTCAAGTGTGTCTGAATCAACATTTTTATATTTGCTTTTTCTTACCTAAGATGAAAAGTAATGAAACTTTCATATGTGTATCAGTGTAAAGAACTATGTACAATCAAGTATTAAATAACAACTTTTGCTGTAAATTCCTCCAGTGTAGCTGTTTGTAATGACATTATGCACTGTGTGTTTGTAAGAGCTATTAATATCTCAAACAGGCACTGTGTTGGGCTGTTAAGGGGTCCTACAACAATGTACGGTACTCAGCATGAATGGGTACACCCCTTTAAAAAGTATGAATTTAATCAGTAGCTCAATGAACAAAAGCACAAACTCCAGAATTTTCACAAGGCCGGGTTTTATTGAACACTTGTTTAACTTCATAACATGAAATTAAGGTTAATAATATAACTTAGATCACAAAATCTTCAGTTGTACTAAAATTGGTTCAAGCAAAAATGAATACACCCCACAACAAAAACAACTACATCAGTCCATCCATCCATTGTCTGAACCCGCTTTGTCCACGTAGGGTCGCGGGGGGGCTGGTGCCTATCTCCAGCGGTCAATGGGCGATCAGGTGGGGTACACCCTGGACAGAGAGCCATTTCAACAACTATATCTAGTATTTATAAAATGAAAGGGATGAAAATGTCGATTCTGAAAGGAAACTAAAGGTTTTCTGACAAATGTAGTTGGGCGTGATGAGCCTCTGTCAGTGCGCCCCAGAGCAGCTGTGGCTACATTGTAGCTCATCACCATCAGCGTGTGAATGTGTGTGTGAATGGATGAATGATACACTGTAGTGTAAAGCGCTTTGGAGTCCTTACTCTGAGAGGCGCTATACAAGTGCGGGTCATTTATTTATCATGTTGAGCTGTAACCTGCCTTTAATAAATTTTGCATTCATACATTTTTGCGTTTGTGTTTCTCCAACCTCACAAACTGTGGTCTGTTAGTCAGGTAGTCTTTAATCCACGCGATAGTTGAGGCCCTCATCTGTGTCTTCTGGAGTTTCTGGCAAAGTACATCAGGCTGGATTGTGTTAAATGCACTGGAGCAATCAAAGAACATGACCCTAACAGTGCTGCATGCTTTGTCCAGATGACAGTGGTTTAGTTGAAGCAGCTGGATGATGGCATCTTCAACTCCAACTCCATGGCGATAAGCAAACTGCAGCGGGTCCTGATATGTTCTAGTTTGCTTATTCAGGTGGACCAACAGGAGTCTCTCCAGGACCTTCATGATGTGGGTTGTCAGGGCAACCGGTCTGTAGTTGTCATTGACTGATGGGCGAGGTTTCTTTGGAACTGGAACAAGGCTGGATGTCTTCCACAGTACTGGAACCTTCTCCTGGGCCAGGCTGAGGTTGAAGAGGTGCTGCAGAATCCCACAGAGCTGCTCTGCACAGGCCTTCAGTACTCTGGGGCTGACACCATCTGGACCTGCAGCCTTGTTCCTGTTCAGTGTCTCCAGCTGCCTCTTCACCTGACTTCTAGAGACAGATAGGTGGGAGGGGGAGGTAAATGGGGCAGCAGCATCTCCTGACTTGGTTGAAGACAGATTTATAGAACCAGAAGAGTCCATGACTGTGTTAAAGGACAAAAGATCTGGCGTGTGACAGGAAAATATTGGATCAGAGGAGGATGGGATGTCTGATTGGCTGGGGACAGGCGAGGAGTATGCTGGGTTTGTTGCTGAACTGAACCTATTGAAGAACTTGTTCAGTTCATTGGCTGTGTCCAGGCTGCCATCTGTGCAATCCTTCCTCTGCTTGAAGCCTGTGATCTTCTTCATCCCTGACCAGACATCTCTGATATTGTTCCTCTGTGTTTGTTCTCTAGCTTCTTCCTGTATGCCTCCTTGCTGTCTCTGATCTTGATCTATACTCCTCAATAATTCCCTGTCTCCCTCCTTGAAGGCTCTTTTTTTTTCCTCATTTGGCAGATTCTTCAGTTCACTGGTGATCCAGGGTTTGTTATTAGTTAAACATCTCACTGTTCTGGTGGGTATGATATTGTCCACACAGAAGTTTATATAGTCAGTGACACATCTGGCATTGATGTCCTCTTCATATCCTTGGCAGAGAGTCATCCAATCTGTGGTCTCAAAACAACTCTGCAGGGCTTTTTCAGCATCCTGTGACCATTTTCTCACAGTTCTTCTTGTCACAGGTTGCCTCTGAACAAGTGGTTTGTATTCTGAGCAGAGAAAAACAAGATTGTGATCTGATTGTCCCAGAGGAGGTATTGTTTTGGACATGTATGCATTCTTTACATTTGCCTAACACAAATCCAGTGTCTTGTTTTCTCTGGTGGAGCAGCTGACAAACTGTTGAAATGTTGGAAGTGTAGCAGAGAGCAAGGCATGATTAAAATCACCAGATATAGCCACAAATACATTGGGGTGCTGGGTTTGTAGCTTAGCGACAACGGAACTGATGGCATCACATGCATTTTCAGCAATGGCTGAAGGTGGAATATAAACAGTTGCCAAGACAACATTGGTGAATTCTCTTGGCAAATAATATGGGCGAACACTTACTGCCAAGAGCTCAATATCTGGACTGCAGAGATGACATTTCACTGAAACATGACCTGGATGGCACCATCTGTTGTTAACAAGCACCGCCACTCCACCTCCTTTTATTTTCCCGCTCCTCTTCAGATCTCTGTCTGCTCATACAGTCAGGAATCGTGGCAGAGAGATGCTGGGATTGGGGATATGGTCCTGCAGCCACATCTCAGTGAAACACATAACACTGCACTGCTGATACTCTGGCTGAGTCCTTGAAAGGGCTTGAAGTTCATCCATCTTGTTCGCCACTCACATTGCCCATTATGATCGATGGAAGAGATGGTTTGAATTTCCTCTTTCTCTGTCTCCGTTTTGTTCCCGCTCTGCACCCACGCTTCTTGCGTTTTAGCCAAGCCCCCACAATGCGGGTGAAAAATTGAAGCAAACGCGGAAGTGAAATAAATTGGAGTTCCACCCTCATCCGCTGGGGGCTGGTGTCAGAAGCGAGCAAATCCTCATTGACTCCCATGTTAAAAATGCCAATTTCACAGCAGAAATAAAGATGTTTACAGCCTGGTACCAGAACATGTTTTTTGTTTAAATGATCTAGTTTACACTCATGACAACTCTGAGGGGGGTGACTTTTTTTCTCACTCTTCTGTTTAAGTGTATTAAAAGCCTAAAATTCTGTATAATTAATTAGCATCAGACCCACGTGACCGCCGCCTCAGACCCACGTGACCACAGAGCTAGCTCCGTGGAAAGGCCTCAGTAGAGCCTCGGTCTGGCCTAGAAACTGTTCCGGGATTTTGAGTCTCTGTGTTTGTGTATTCTTTTTTGGATATTATTTGTGCAATTGTTGGACAAAATGACTTGCTGTGGCATTAATTGCACTAATAGAGCATCCAAGGAGTCTCCACTTCATTTTTTTCGGTAAGTAAAATTATATTTATGTATTTTAGGTCACTGCTGAGCTGAGTTTAGATTTTAACATGTACTGTTTAACCATGAAATTTAAATTTAATAGGGTAAAACCCAGTGCATTTAACATAATGCTGTACTTTAGAAAATGGGTTGAAATATAACATGTTGGTGGAGCTGGGTTCCGACTATCGGCTTGTGGAGCTCTCGGGAGACGGATGTTTTCCACCCGGTTCTCCCCTCCCCGCAGCTCGGGTCATCTCTGTCTGATCGCGGCTCCTGCCTGCTGCATGGGCTGCCGGCTTGTGGAGCTATGACGGAAACCGATGTTTTCCACCTGGTTCTCCCCTCCCCGCAACTCGGCGCATCTCTGTCTGATCGCGGCTTCTGTCTGCTGTGCGGGCTGCCGGCTTCTGGAGCTCTGGATGGAAACCGATGTTTTCCACCCGGTTCTCCCCTCCCCGCAGCTCGGCGCATCTCTGTCTGATCGTGGCTTCTGTCTGCTGTGCGGCTGCCGGCTTGTGGAGCTCTCGGGAGACCTCTGTGTTCCACCTGGTTTTACCCAGTGGTCAGCCCGGTGTGTCTCTGACTCAGAAGCTCTGGTGTTGTGCACTGTTAACTCCGGTTGTAGCTAGGTTGCTACCTCCGTTAGCTTAGCTCCCACTTCCGCGTTAGCTTTGGGTTAGCTTCAGGTTAGCTTGTAGCTAGTTCAACCGGGTGTCGTCAGTTGATCCCAGCCTTACAGCCTCACCCTCAGCTCCACCTCTTTTCCCTTTTGTGGAATTGTCTGGGCTTGACGGAACCTGTGACAAGGTCAAAATGGCGGTGGCGGCCACCTCCCATTTTTCTTCAAAAACGTGTTATTGGAGGCTATGGAAACCCATTGTCCAATATTTATATGTCGATGGTTTTTAGCTCATTTGGGATTTGTGGCTTCAATTGAGGTAATTATTATAATTTTACAGCCATAAGATTAAAAAAATACCAGGTGGCCCTGTTATAATTATGGTCATAAGAGGGTTATTAAGACGGCGATGCTCAAACAGGAAGTGATTGGTGGTCATTCCACTCCAATCCAGTTGGTGGCAGTAACAACAAATTGTTGTTTGTCAAGTGCCATAAGACCTCAAATAATAAAGAAGAGAGGCGGGAGCGTTTGTAACAAACTCAAAGTGATAGTCAAAACATTAAGCATGAAATTGAGTTATCCTAGTGGCTCCGATAAGAGAAATAAGCAGCATGCTTCATAAAAGCTTTTATTTTCACTTTTGAAAGTGACGTCGTTTTTCGATGTAAACATCAAAAGGAAGCGGAAAGGAAAGACAATGTAAAATGTTTAAAGGGAGGAAAACATAGTCCAAAATGGAAAATAGAAAAAAAAAATACAAAGGCAAAAGCACAGGAGCACTGACAGGAAAAAGAAAGCAGAGCAAATACTGAAAGCGCTCAAAAGGACAAAAGGAGGGAAATACAGGAAACAAGAGGAGGACTAATAAAAAGGGAAAATAACTCATGTCAGAAGAGGGGAGAGTTTCGCAAATCCAGTTAAAGGTAAGATTGTTGAAAATAAGGGGCCCCATGTCTGTGTTGACCTTGGGCCCTCATGAGGGGCGGGACTAGGCAGCTCAAAAATAACCAATCAGAAAAAAGACGGAAATGCCAACGCTGTAGTTTTTTAGCTGTAGTAAAAAAAAAGGTGTCTGGCGACAGCGCAAACGTCTTTTTTTATAGAAGAAATGCTTTTAGTGCTTCTACTTGTTGTTTTAAAGACGTTCAAGCCATGTAGAACAGAAGAAAGAGTCACAGCGAAGTCCGCCGCTGTCTTCGTTGTTTATGAGAAACTGAGCGTCGCTGTGTGTGATGTCCGCAATGCTGTAGTTTTATAGTCAAAAATGTTGTCTGACGACTGCGCAAACATCTTTCTTTAGAAGAAATACTTTTAGCGCGTCTACTTGTTGTTTTAAAGACGTGTCCAAGTCATTTAGAACAGAGGAAAGAGTCGCAGCAAACTCCGCTTCAGACGCCAAGTTCAACAAACTCGGCATTGTGGTGTGTGACGTACACTGCTCAGCGCTGATTGGCTCGGTTAGAATTCTCAGGGGGTGGGGCTGTTTGTATAGGAGAGTTCCCAGACCCTTTCTCTGTGCAGAATTAACCAGAGGAGGAGTCTGGCAGGCCAGGCTACGCGTTTGGAGGACTTGGTCAGAAGCCGAGCACAGGCACTCTGAACCACCTGTAAACGGTTCAGGGAGGTTCTGCTCAGACACATGAAAAAAGAGTTGCAGTAGTCTAAGTGTGAGGACATGAAGGTGTGGATAACAGTCTCAAGTTCAGAGCGGGACAGAATGGGACTCAGCTTAGCAATGTTGATATTTAAAAGTAAGTACATGACAAATATGACAGTAAGCAAAAAACTTTATTGGGTTATAGTCACCCTAGAAAGAGTCTAACATTTAAATTCTTAAAAGTTACACTTACTAACATACTTCTCAAAAGACTTGCTTCATTGATGAAACCAAAGACATCGCTGAGAGGTAAAATCTAAAGTCTGACATCATTCAGTAAGTAGATGCTTCTAAATATTATTTTGCATTCTACAACAGTCAGATATATACACAACCATCCTGAACGACTAATTAACATTTACAGTTCATTATTAAACTCTTTACACGGGCTTAAAATGTACAAAGCACTCTCTACTTTACATTACAGCATCATAAGAAGATGTGAAAATGTTACTGCCCCAAATGTGAGCCCCTTCGCTTGCCGTACCCGGGAGGGGCGTGAAAGCAGCGTTAGCATCTTCACAGTTAAGCTAATGTATTTTTTTTACGTCAAACTGAACTAATATAACAGCTCTCCTTTCACCACGTTAAATCTCTTTAGACTAAAATGTGTTTTATGCATTTTTAATAATCAATTCGCTTTCTTTTTTTTACACCTGTTCATTTGCTGCATGCTAATACTACCTAGCTAAGTTGTGCATAACTCAGGAAAACAAAAGATAGCATCTTCGACAGAGACTTTTTGTGGATGCAAAACCATAAAAATGGTCTTATCCGAGACAGAGAATGGTCGTTCTGGAGGCGAAGAAGAGACAGACGCGATAGTGAAAACGTGTGTTTTAAGTGGTTTCAGTGAGAGCAGCGAGGTCACGACTCTCATCTCCAGCCTGGTGGAGGTCCATGAGGACCAGAGAGTAAGAGAGATTGTGATGCAGAGATTCTCGGGTGAGTCAGTCTAAAAAAAGAGTTCATAATGAGTTTGTGGCTTTAATTTGCTTTCTGTTCATGACAGTCTAACCATCTATTTTCTTAGTGATAATGAACGGATATCAAGAGCAGCCTCATCTGCTGGATCCACATTTAGGTACAGGGCAACTTCTCCAAACTACTAAATGTTCTACTGCTGGAAAGTCAGTAAAGCATGTTCTTGTTTCATGTGTACTAGAACGAATGATGAAAATGCTACTGGACCTAGTGAGGAGTGAAAACTCTCCACCCTCTCTGGTGCACTTGAGCTTCAAGTGTCTCTACATCATTTGTAAGGTGAGTTAAATCAAACATAGTCTTGTCTCTTATCTGAAGGTGAACTGCAAGTTGAATGCCTAAATTGTTTTATTTACACATCATTATGTTTCTGTTTATTTTGTTGCATACCCTTTACTGTTTCTGATTAGGTTAGAGGATATAAAACCTTCATGCAGCTTTTTCCTCATGAGGTGGCCGATGTCCAGCCTGTTCTGGAACTGATGTCCAGACAAGACCCTGAAGACTTACAGGTGAGCTGGTAAAGACACTTCTCATTATTTATGGAACAACTGGTGCAGAGTAGACAATAATCTAAAACACTGACTCGGAGTTGGAGAGTGTTCGGCATGATAGATGATCACAAATTCAGAAACAAAGTTAGACTTCCGCTCACATCAATGCATCATTGTCAAGCAGCAACAAAACGTCCCACATTTTCACTGATCCATGAACTCATCATCACTGACTGATTCATGTTAGCAAAAACAAATCGTCCACATGGACGATTCAACTTCCAAACTCACATTGTTCAAAACAATCAGCAATCAAAAAAGAAAAGGCCTAAAAATTTTTGTTTGAAATAAACGAGATCGCGGATACAAGCGGCCGAAATGAGTTTCCTCCGTAGGGTGGCCGGGCTCAGCCTTAGAGATAGGGTGAGGAGCTCGGATATTCGGGAGGGACTCGGAGTAGAACCGCTGCTCCTCCAGATCGAAAGGAGCCAGTTGAGGTGGTTTGGGCATCTGGTCAGGATGCCTCCTGGACTCCTCCCCGGGGAGGTGTTTCGGGCATGTCCTGCCGGCAGGAGGCCCCCGGGTCGACCCAGGACACGTTGGAGAGGTTACATCTCCAATCTGGTCCGGGAACGCCTTGGGGTCCTGCCGGAGGAGCTGGTGGACAAGGCCGGGGAGAGGACGGCCTGGAGCTCCCTAGTTGGGATGCTGCCCCCGCGACCCGGACCCGGATAAGCGGAGGAAGACGAAGACGAAGAAATAAATTTGAAATTATTTTCAGATTATCTCTGATCATATCAACTGTTAAATGATGATCTTTTTTTAAATCAGTTGTTGGGTGAATGGGATCATTAAGTTACACACAGATGAATTAAAAACTACTGTAGTTCTCATAATAGAATGATCACAATTAAATAATTAGGGTCATTTTTTAAGCAATATCACACTCGAGGTCGTGCGTTGTTGCTGATATTTAGCAACAACGCACGACCTCGAGTGTGATATTGCTTTTATACAACAGTTCTACCTGCTCATTTTATTTTTATAACAACAATAAGTCACAACAGAATATGATTTGTTCATTTATTTAATCATTTATCAGGCTTCGCCAACACAAATAGTCCCAACACGAAATGGAGACTCAGACAAGGCTGTTGCTAGGCAACACAAACATTTTCTACAAAGCACTGTAATAATGGTTAGAACGGCTGTGCACAGCCGAGTGATACTGTTTGTAAACAGTCCCAGTGCTGTTATAATTTAATATCAGCCCTCTTGGAAAGTCTCGTGACCAATCAAATCACTCGGTCGGAACTAACTGTTGTATAATTATTTTCATAGGATTTCTTCATCATTTTGCCTCAACAATGTTCATTGTTTTAAAGTGAACTTGATGTTTTTTTATTTATTTTTACCATCAATTCCTTCCAGACTTGGGAAACTCGCTACATGTTGTTGTTGTGGCTGTCCATGACCTGCCTCATACCCTTTGACCTATCTCGTCTGGATGGCCATCTAGAGTCAGACGGCGGTAAGCCTAGGGAGTCCACCATGTATCGTATTCTCACTGTTGCAAAGGTGAGCATAAATATTGTATTCTGATCTTCTGATATATCACTGAAATGTTCCAGTGTCTTTGCATATTTTGAAAAGTGTGAATGAATCCTGATTAAGGATGATTTAAATGCTGTCTGCAGGTCTGACAGGTATAGTTGTATCATAAGTAGGTTTAGGTTGTTGTACATATGTTGTAATTGCACTTGATCAGGATAAATGTACCTGTCACTTTTAGAAAATACGTTGGGCAATAATCTAAAATGAAGTTTTTGCTTTGTGTGCACTAGTTGCCATTTAAAGTTTGACCCTGCTGGTATTATTGTGCTAAATGTGTTGAATTTCTTGGTTTTCTATAGCAGACACACAGCACCACCGGTTGTTATATGATGTTTTTCTATATATGTAAATAAGAAAATGAGAATATGATTAGCGAAATTAACTATTTAAAAAAATATTTAATAAAAACTGTTGTAATTTGTTGCCACTTTCTCATGTGATGTGAATATTGTGTTATTTAGCCATTTTGTTTGACATAGAACAAATAAACATGTTTTTTACAGTCTTATCTACTAGTGGCTGACTGTCCCAGAGACGCGGCATCTGTTCTCATTTCAAAGTAAGTGTCGTCAAATATGAGGTGTGAAATAATGAGTGGTCTGCTTTAGTTTTTGAAAGTCAAACTCGTAGTGCAGGTCTGCGTCTCGTTGCATGTTTGCAAAAACACGTCGGACATTATCGACGCGTTTTTATGTCGGACATGTTGACCGACCTGTCGGTAAACAAAGTATTTGAAAATCACAAACTCTGATTGAATGTTCATGCCACGGACATTTTTTTTTAATCAGTGATCCATAAGAGAGGGTCTCTGACCTCCACGGCTGCAGCTGCAGCACATTCTTTTGAGCGTTTTAATTGATCTGTCCCGGACGCTTAAGGGTGCTAAAGTTTATTCTTGGTAAGATCACTTCCTGATGTTGTAACATTTGTGCAGCACCAAAGCAGCAGACAAAACGAGGCTTTGCTCCCAACAGTGGTTTATTATAGTCACTGGGATAAAGCTGCACTTATGGGTGCCGTATAACCCATAACCCTTATGGGTCAATACAATCATTTCTTCTGGTGTTTTATGATAATTCAAAATTTTTATCATTTCTGTCTGTTTATTATATTTTTGGAGCAGAGTGAAGGTTTAAACCGCACGGTAGAAATCTTTTGCATTATTATTGTAACATTAAAATAAGTAAAATATAATTGGCCACTTGAATACAAATAGATACACATGAGGACATTGTCCTATGTGGTTCTGCCTGAGACACTCCCACGTCTGCCACTTGGGTAGGCACAGCTCAAAGCTTCCACAAATACACATATTAGTGATATTAGTGGCACAATCTGTAATTATTCTTTTTGACCACCAGAAGGCGATATTGCATTTGGATTGTGTGTGTCCGTCTACAGCTGTTTCTTCTGGTAACTCTCCTAATCTTTGCCGTCTGATCACACACAGGTTCATGACACGCCCTGATGTGAAACAGAAATGTCTCGCAGACTTTCTGGATTGGAGTCTCACCACTGTATCTCAGACCGATGACCATTCAGTGAGGGACATTATGGCGCTTGACGGTGTTCTGCAATCACTGGTAAACATTTACACCTGTGATAAACACAGTTTCACACTTGTCTGTGTGAGAGCTCAGGGTTTAGTGCGTGCTCTGTTTGAGTAGACTTGCAGAGGGATATTTACAAGTGCTGACATGACTGGTATGCTTTACACAATACCTTGTGTGGCTTTTAGCAGGTGTGTAATGCACCTGCTGCCTGTGTGGGATATGTTGCTTCAAGTGACTTGAGACAGTTTAATCCATTGCTGTAGGCTAAACGGTTTTTCACTTGTGCTGAGGGGGATGGGATTCAATAGATTGTCTTTTCCAGCTTAACATCCCCACACAATACCTCACTGCAGGTATAGATTAACACAGTTGATTAGTGTGTGATCTAAGGACATTTAAGGGGTCCAGACTGCTAGTAAATTACATCCACTGGCACAGAAACCTGTATGGCATGTTTAGAAAGCATTCCTTATTTCATGTCTGTGTAATAAAATACTGATCCTGGTTGTTGCTTTAGGCTCTCCAAACTGGCTCTGTGTGTTCTGTCAGACTCGTGTTTTTAGAGCTGACTTTAGGACACTAAAGGCCAAAGGTCAAAATGAAAATCCAAGGGCATGGCAGCAAATAACAGGATTTTATCAAGTAAAACGTAAAGATGTGTGGCACAGTTCAACGTCTGAGATTGATTTATTTTTTTTAGGCGAAGCTTTTTAAACATGGAAAACGGGACGACCTCTTACAGTACGGTAGGTTCCATCCGTCCTTTTGCAATTTCATACTTATTGTAATTATTTTAAGCCTGTGCCTCCTAATTAACCGTTACTAAACAAATAGGAGCACGTGCTTGTCAAACTCTTTTGTTAAACCTGGACTTTCTCCTTTAAAAGGAAAACTTTTACTACTTCTTTTTCAGTGCATTTTGGTCGGTTGTGGCACGTTTTGTATAGGCTAGTGTTAATTTGTGATTTGTCTGTGGTGCCCGTGTCTCTGTGTCTCGCAGCTCCTACGGTTCTGCAGTGTCTGGAGCAGAAACGCCTGTCAGAAAGTAGTGAGGCCAAGCCGCGAAAGCTAGCTGTTAAACTCATTCAGAGGCTGGGCCTCACGTTCCTCAAGCCACGATTAGCTTCCTGGAGGTCAGACACAATTTAACGTATGTTCGTTGCAAATAAGTGTTTATTAACATTAATGTACCAATTTCCAGGTACCAGAGAGGCAGCCGCTCCCTTGCAGCTAATCTTTCCATGTCCCAGCCAGTGTCCGACACCGCTCCGGTTTCTGAACCAGACACGCGTGAGCAAGACGACTACGACATTCCTGAGGAGGTTGAGACGGTTATTGGTGAGGTACCATCTTTGCCTGGACTCAAGTCGTTGTTAATTCCCTTCTACCAAATCAGATGTTTTTGTTGTTTTCCAGAGACTCTGCTCGTTGGACTGAAGGACAAGGAAACAAATGTGCGCTGGTCTGCAGCAAAGGGGTAACGGCGTTTTCCAGTGACAGTGAAGGATCCTTGCTGCTGCTTTTGCATTTTTATTGTAAAAGAAACTTCTCTGCATGACTTAACGAGTTTTTCTAAAATGCATTTTGCTCAATGTTTCAGAATTGGGAGGGTGACTGGGAGGCTTCCCAAGGAGCTGGCAGATGAGGTGGTTGGATCAGTGCTCGAGTGTTTCAGGTGAGTTGGTGCTTGAGGCACGCTGGCTCAATCCATCTGCATCTGTCACACTTTGCCAGCTCTGTCATTTATCACTCCCTTTGATGTCTTAAAAAAACATTTTTGCTAAAATCACTGAAACAAGATTAAAATCCAATCCTGCACATGCTTTATGAGTTTTTTTAACCTGTGATCATTTGTGTGTCAAGCTTTCAGGAAATGGACAATGCTTGGCACGGAGGCTGCCTCGCTCTGGCCGAGCTGGGTAGGAGGGGCCTGCTGCTCCCTTCTAGGCTGACTGATGGTGTGTGCACAGAAACAGCGTTCATCTAAAGCACAAGCCATTCAAGACTGTTATTCCTTTATTCAGCAGATTTACACTTATTTACATTTGCAGCACATAGACGTTTCTGTATATTCCAGCTGTTAATTATGTATACCGAATTCAAACATGCCAGTTTTTCTCTTTAAGTCCTCTTTTCAGCTCAGGTTTGAGAGCTAGCGTGATACAGTTAGCTGTACCTGTAACAACAAGTTTGTTAAACGAACGAGATTCTCTTTTCTTTCTTCTGGACAAGGAACCTTGCAGCCGTGCCGTTGGCATGTCATTTCCACGGTTACCAGGTTGCTTCAGCTCTGCAGTGCTAAAGCAAGCGTCTGGATGTGGAGGCTTTGCTTGCATTGGTGCTTGTAAGTCCTCTTTGTCACAGTCCTGAAACAGTCGGTGTGTAGTCGTCAGCACCGATGCCGCCTCCTCAGAGCTCGTCCTGATGGTTTTGCTTTCTTGTTCGGTTGATGCCATTTGCTCTCGGTCTGGCCTCGGATTGCTCTTTTCATGGGTGTTTTAGCCCTTGTAGGCGGCTGGGTTCTTTCCAGAGGAGCGTTCCTTGTAGTGCCCAGTGGCCCTTCAGAGGACTGGGACATAACACTGAAACTGTTTGAAGACACCACAGAGCTTGCAGTTGCTAGTTGGCAGAGTGCCAGAGCTGCCGTCTGCCTCTGGTCACACCGTTCTTCATCCAGATCTTCATCAGGACCCTGTGGAGGACCTTCTACTGCTATAGAGCCATGTACGAGGCTGCTGGGCGACGCTCGGAGGCTGAGATTCAGCGGGAACTCGCTGACGTCTGACCTTTCAGTGTCTGAGCCCAAAAGTCTGTGCTCAGGTTTCTCCTCATGATCCTGGTTTCTTGTTGAGAGGTTGAGTGGTGCCAGGTCCTCTGTGTCGTCCTCTGGGTTCTCCTCAGACCCAGACTTGAGCCCTGGCTCACAGGCAGCTACAGAGGGGTACTGGCTGCTTTCAGCTGATCTACAAAAACAAAAGCCATAAACAGAACATTAAAAACAAACAAGACTTGACAGATCAATTGGAAGGTGAGGATAAGGAGTTTTGCTCACCCTCCATCCAGATTTTTTAACTGAGACAGAGCTTCTGCTGCCTCTTCGTGGCTTAAATCTTGTTTGATGGGTTCTGTGGTTCTGGATGTGTCTCTGGGCTGGGTGGAGGTCTGTGAGTCATCCACGCGGGTGTGCGGTGAGGTCTTTTCATCTCTTTGGATGATGTCCGCTTGACTCGGTCTGTCAGGAGACCCTGAAGCTGAACATCCCTCTTTAGGGCTCAGCCGTGTTGCTTTTTCACTGCTTCGGCCATGGTGAGCCTCCTCCTCGGTAGAGCTGTGTGGGTTGTTGTGACCGGGTCGTGAGTACATGTAGAGGTCATAATCTTTATGGCCAAGGCTTTGGCCGTAGACTTCCAAAGGAACATATCTGTGTCCTGTAATCTGCATGGGAAGTTCGTGGGGTCGGTAAAAGGAGTAATGCATAGGAGGCGCCGGGTGAAGCGTGTGGCAGTATCTGTAAGGGTAAGGAGGAAATGGGGAAGCATGAGGTGGGGTAATGGGTTGCCGAACCATAGGTCTTTGGGAATCTACGAATTCTGTCTGGAAAGAAGAACTTTGCTCATTCACACGGACGTGTCCTGGGAGGTAGTACGGTGGATAGAGGTGTCTGTCGGGCCAAAGGTAAGGAGGGTATTCAGGAACCACGAGAGGAGTGAAAGATTTTAAGGGATTGGTTGATGAAATTCTTCCCCATGGGTTGCTTAGGTCGTTGATAGTAGGAGATTGGGAGTCGTCTGCCTGCTGCTCTGGGGATTTCAGGGCTTCTGCACCCTCACGGTTGGGCGTGACGGGAGAGAAGGCTGAAAGGCGCGGCCGGGGCAGATCTGTAATCTCATTGTTCTCGCTGATTTCTTTCTCAGGGCATATATTTGGTTTTTCCAGACTAGGACTGTCTGAGTCGACTGACCTCTCACACCCAACCTCCACCTCTGTATCGTCTCTACTTTTGTCCTTGTTCTCCTCCTCTTCACGACTCTCGGGACTTTTGTTTTGGACTGCCGAAAGGACCGTGGCACAATCCTTAGATTTGACCGAGACTCCTTTTGCCACAGCCTTGATCTGCCGGGCGGCTTGCCCGTTTTTCTGTGACATGAGTGAGATGGAGTTTTTACACAAGTTGTATTTCATGTGGTTAAAGAGATGGGACTTTTCGTTGCAGGTGAATGGACACTGGAAACACTGGTACTTGAAAGGCTTCCCCGGGGGTCGGGGAATGTAGTGAGGCCGTTTTGGCTTACGTTCCTGAGCATTGTCCATTTCGACTCCGTAGAAGGTTTTCTGAAAAGAGAATAAAGGCCGTCACACATGAATTAGTAAAGCTCTGGACGTGTTTGTTTGTCTTTGCTAAATTTGTACCTGCTGACAGATTAGGGTGAAAACAGAATAGTCAAATATTTTTGTGCTAGATTCTTTCTAAGCCGATTTTTGAGCGATGACCCTAACGACGTTGTTTGGAGTGGTTTGGCTGGTTCAGATGGAAAGGTGTTGAACTGTTTCTCTAGCTGCATGGCTAGAAGAATCTCCTTGTGCACAAACACTTCCCCCTCAGGCTACACTTGTTCCTTCACACTAGGATGGACAGTAAGCAGAGGGACGTGTTTAAATTAGAAAACCTGTCAACTGTATGCAAAACCTAAGCCACGCGTTTGCATATATCCTGTCCAGTCGTAGTTTCGTTCAGGGTAAGTGGTTCCAGCGAACACTCACCCTCACTAAGCTTGCTTGCACACCTGTCTGTTATTTGTAATATCAGTTTAGTAATCCGTCTTATTAAAGTCGTAGGCCCAGTAAAAACACCCGGCAGACAGATCACTCTTAGTTTCACAGACCTTGAGGGCATGCAGAGACTTGCTTCCCCCTTGCATCTAAACTGTGCGCTGTTGGCGTGGGAACTACAAGTCAGCCTGCTTACCATGACTGCACCTGCGGGATGCACCTACCGTTGATAAGCTCACAGGCTCTGGGACTACTCGAGTATCCCTCCATGCTGGCTCATTCTGTTACCACGTCAGTGTATTAGTAAGTGAAACCATTTAATTAAAGTGTGAATCATTTAAGCGTCGACCTTTAGAAAGGAAACGTCACCTAAAGATGTTAGCTTAGGGCTGCTGGGTGTGCAGAGACAAACCTGCTTGTCATGTGTTGTTGCAAGAAGTCGTCACTCAAGTTTGGACTCAAGCAGCATGCGACGACACTCCCTTTCCTCAGAACTCAAACTCATTAGAAAACACTTTTTAGCACTTCTGCACCATTAATAGAAACCAGTAAATGTTTAAAATCGTCTAGTAAGCTTAATGGGATCCAAGCAGGAAACCGTTTTTTAAGAAATTCACAATTTTAATGCTACGTTTTTGTTTTTTGTTCACAACTATGCGGCTTTTTGTCCGATAAATAAACCTGCAGTGTGAACAGGAGCGGGTGGTAACAGGTGCACACTTTGTGTAAACGTTGCCCTAAATGCAGTTTACCGACGAGATAACAGCACAAAATCACCGGCTATAATAGAAACCCGTAAAAAATACATAAATCACACAATCTGGTGCTGCCTTCTTTAAAAGTGAGACACAAACGAGGGAAAACATTACCTCTGTTATGTGAAGTCCACAGAGAAGTGACCCAGGGTGCACAGCCAAAGTGTGTGTGTGGTCAGGGAGCTGGCTTTGATAGCTGAGAGCTGTGGTTGTGTGTGTGATGAGTTAGTGGTGACTTCTCCTTTCTAAGGTGTTGTCTCTCCAGTGGGTGGTGCTTCAGCCCAAACAGCAGTGCCCTCAGGCAGCAATGATGCACCTGTAATTAGTAAGGCCTCGAGCAATGATTTAACTGGTGTGGTGGGAGATGGAACCTCTCTGTTTCCTGCTCCGCCGTTCGTTTAAAAGCTCATAAGAGCATCGTTTTACTGAATGTTTACATAAAGTCCTGTAATGAGACGTGCACAAACACTAGTTCCTCCGTGTTCGTTCATTTGTACCGTTTGTTTTAACAACCCTTTATACCGTTTAGAAGAAATGAAACACAACAGACGGTTAGCTTCACTTTATTTTTAAAAAAAAATTCATTTTGCAAAACTGAGTAAATGTGTCTAAACGGTTTTGACGTGTTTATGTAAAGTATCATTGATTTTCCCCTTTGACTCGTATATTGAGATAAAACTTCCCCTTCTGTGTTTCCAGTTGTGCCGCTTATTATCAAGTC